CCATAACTTCAGTCATATTGGTGCATTCATGTTGACTCCACGATCTGACCATGAAGTCATTAGGCCATAACTTCAGTCATATTGGTGCATTCATGTTGACTCCACGATCTGACCATGAAGTCATCAGGCCATAATTCAGTCATATTGGTGCATTCATGTTGACCCCACGATCTGACCATGAAGTCATCAGGCCATAACTTCAGTCATACTGGTGCATTCATGTTGACTCCACGATCTGACCATGAAGTCATCAACCCATAACTTCAGTCATATTGGTGCATTCATGTTGACTCCACGATCTGACCATGAAGTCATCAACCCATAACTTCAGTCATATTGGTGCATTCATGTTGACTCCACGATCTGACCATGAAGTCATCAGGCCATAATTCATTCATATTGGTGCATTCATGTTGACTCCACGATCTGACCATGAAGTCATCAGGCCATAATTCAGTTGTTTGGTGCCTCCCTTTTTTTAAACCCCAATTTTCTATGACGTCATTTAAGCGTTTTTTTTTTTTCTTTTCATTTTTTTGTTTTTTTTTTGTTTTGTTGATGTGTTTGTGGAGTCACACTGGCTGATGTATTTTCTTGACTTGAAGAATGTTGCAGAGTTGCTATTAAGTGCTTAAATAAAAAATGTATCATAATGTGTAGAAATCGGGCAGATAACTGGATTCAAATTATTTCGAAATACGTATGAAAAGCACGAACTAGATGTGACACAACCCTAAAGAAAACTGGATATTACACACACCTATGTCAAAGCTACATGCTGCACACCACTATGTCAATGGAATGACTTAGCCATACACATCAACCCATAGCATCAGTCATAATGGTGCAGTCTTGTTGACTCCACGATCTGACCAAAGACATACAGATCAGCCCATAACTTCTGTAATATTGGTGCAGAAATTTTGAATTCACGTTCTGACCAAAGACACACACATCAACCCATAACTTCAGTCATATTGGTGCAGTCTTGTTGACTCCACGATCTGACCATGAAGTCATCAGGCCATAATTCAGTTATATTGGTGCATTCATGTTGACTCCACGATCTGACCATGAAGTCATCAGGCCATAACTTCAGTCATATTGGTGCAGTCTTGTTGACTCCACGATCTGACCATGAAGTCATCAACCCATAACTTCAGTCATATTGGTGCATTCATGTTGACTCCACGATCTGACCATGAAGTCATCAACCCATAACTTCAGTTATATTGGTGCATTCATGTTGACTCCACGATCTGACCATGAAGTCATCAGGCCATAATTCATTCATATTGGTGCATTCATGTTGACTCCACGATCTGACCATGAAGTCATCAGGCCATAATTCATTCATATTGGTGCATTCATGTTGACTCCACGATCTGACCATGAAGTCATCAGGCCATAATTCATTCATATTGGTGCATTCATGTTGACTCCACGATCTGACCATGAAGTCATCAGGCCATAATTCAGTCATATTGGTGCATTCATGTTGACTCCACGATCTGACCATGAAGTCATCAGGCCATAACTTCAGTCATATTGGTGCATTCATGTTGACTCCACGATCTGACCATGAAGTCATCAACCCATAACTTCAGTCATATTGGTGCATTCATGTTGACTCCACGATCTGACCATGAAGTCATCAGGCCATAATTCATTCATATTGGTGCATTCATGTTGACTCCACGATCTGACCATGAAGTCATCAGGCCATAATTCAGTCATATTGGTGCATTCATGTTGACTCCACGATCTGACCATGAAGTCATCAGGCCATAACTTCAGTCATATTGGTGCATTCATGTTGACTCCACGATCTGACCATGAAGTCATCAACCCATAACTTCAGTCATATTGGTGCATTCATGTTGACTCCACGATCTGACCATGAAGTCATCAGGCCATAATTCATTCATATTGGTGCATTCATGTTGACTCCACGATCTGACCATGAAGTCATCAGGCCATAATTCAGTCATATTGGTGCATTCATGTTGACTCCACGATCTGACCATGAAGTCATCAACCCATAACTTCAGTCATATTGGTGCATTCATGTTGACTCCACGATCTGACCATGAAGTCATCAGGCCATAATTCATTCATATTGGTGCATTCATGTTGACTCCACGATCTGACCATGAAGTCATCAGGCCATAATTCAGTCATATTGGTGCAGTCTTGTTGACTTCACGATCTGACCATGCAGTCATCAGGCCATAACTTCAGTCATAGTGGTGCATTCATGTTGACTCCACGATCTGACCATGAAGTCATCAGGCCATAATTCAGTCATATTGGTGCATTCATGTTGACTACACGATCTGACCATGAAGTCATTAGGCCATAACTTCAGTCATATTGGTGCATTCATGTTGACTCCACGATCTGACCATGAAGTCATCAGGCCATAATTCAGTCATATTGGTGCATTCATGTTGACTCCACGATCTGACCATGAAGTCATGAAGTTCAGGAGTTGGAATAAAACAACCCTCTTCTTTCATATACATTAATGCCAACTTAATCTACACAATGGATAACAATCTATAGATTACATCTTATTTGCTATCTTTCTGGAGTGAAAGTCATTACATTCTCTCAAACTTTGGACCACCATTGTATTTCAATACTTGTTGGACATCTAGTTAATGTCCAGTTAATCTAGAGTCTCAGAACTTCAATCTGATCACATCTCCATATAGTTACTTGGCACTCTGAGCACAGAGCCCCTTATGAGCTCATCTTGACATAGTTACTTGGTACTCTGAGCATAGAGTGCCTTATGAGCACAGCTCTACATGGTACTCTGAGAACAGAGCCCCTTATGAGCACATCTCCATATAGTTATTTGGTATTCTGAGCACAGACCCCTTATGAGCACAGCTTCACATAGTTATTTGGTACTCTGAGCATAGAGTGCCTTATGAGCACAGCTCTACATGGTACTCTGAGAACAGAGCCCCTTATGAGCACAGCTTCACATAGTTATTTGGTATTCTGAGCACAGACCCCTTATGAGCACAGCTTCACATAGTTACTTGGTACTCTGAGCATAGAGCGCCTTATGAGCACAGCTCTACATGGTACTCTGAGCACAGAGCCCCTTATGAGCACATCTCCACATAGTTATTTGGTATTCTGAGCACAGACCCCTTATGAGCACAGCTTCACATAGTTATTTGGTATTCTGAGCACAGAGCCCCTTATGAGCACAGCTCCACATACTTGTAATAAAGAAAAGTTTAATATTGTAACATTTGCATTCTTCAATGGATTAGACTTATCAATAAAATAACTTTGCTTTTAAAGTGTATTCTCTTGTGCAGACACTGCTGCGTATCTGGGATTGTTTCCTGCTGGAGGGCCCCAAGGTCCTGTTCAGGTTCTCCCTGGCGATCCTCCACATCCACAGCAAGGAAATCATCCTAAAGTGTGACACCATCAGCGTCATGAGGCATCTCAAGACGTGCGCTAGAATAACTTATGATGTGGATGGATTAGTTAGGGTAAGTGCTAGTATGGGGCACATCACATCAAGGCATGTGCTAGGATAACTTATGCGGATGGGTTAGTTAGAGTAAAAATAAGTTGTGCAAATTATTAGAAATGTTTTTATACAAAACCTTTTTGAGACAAGTAAGGAAAAAAAATATTATTTTCTTATAACAATGTAGCAGGCTGCTATGCAGATTACATTTTCAGCAAACATTCAAAGCAAACATTTGCCCCTATATAATTCCTGAGCAATCCATGAAATTATAATTGTGTAAATTGACTGTGTTAGGTGGCATTCAAGAGCCTGAAACCATTCACACGAAGACAGGACATAGTGAGCAAACAGACATGCTACCTGAATGCACTCAAGGAGAAATACAGATGGAGAGACATGCAGAGGGTGGCTTTTGCTGAGAGAGAAAATATGGTATGATGGTGAACTTTGACCTTAGAATTAATGATGTCAAGGATATTAAGGTTTTAAAAACGTTAAACACTATTGTGATTGTGAAAGGCACAAAAAGAAGGGTTTTTGCCTAAAGAATAATGGCATCTAATCCAGGAGTTTGTTAAGACTAAAAATCAATGATAGCATCTAATGGAAGAATTAGTGAAGACTAAAAATAATTTGTAATGACTATGAAGAAACTAGGGATAAGAACATTTCAAAATAAATTATAGGGTAATTTTTATTTTCATCTGCGATCAAATAATAGTGATTATTGAAAAAACAAAAGTTCAGCGGTTTTGTTTTAGATAATGAAATCTGCCTAAAAAAAAAAAAAAAAAAAAAAGAAGACTTCTTTGATCATTTGAAGACTTCATCTGTCGATTTCTTGTCCCTCAGTTCCTTAGGATGGAATGTGATGCAGACAAGTATACAGGCTTTGAATGTTGCACTGCCACCAAACCAGGTAGTCAATTAAATGCCCATTCATACATGTTTTAATGCACATTCAAGGTACAAACAGATGATTCCTCTTGTCGCTTTAGATTCAATTAGAGAGAATGACAGATATAAGAAAAAAACTGTTTATTCTTTTAGGTTCAATAAGACAAACTGACGGAAGAAAAAAATTATTTGTGAGATTCAGTAAGACAGATTGATCAAAATTAGAAAAAAACACTCTTTATTTGTTAGATTTAGTAAGACAGAGTGACAGAAATTAGAAAAAAAACTCAATCAAGAAATAATAAAGATTGACAGAAATTAGAAAAAAAAACTCAATCAAGAAATAGTCGTGACTATTCATTCTTGTTTCATATGTGTCATTGGTTTGTGTTAAATTTTTTTGTTAGGTTCTTTCTTTGCATAATTCTATACAGCATTAAAATCTTATAGTAATATGCACAATATAATATAATATGTAACATGTATTACTATATTGAGTAGCCTTATTAAGTTATTTATGTTTATAAGAATACAGAAAATTTTCTTTATTTTCTATTTCAAGGAGAGGCCTGGGTGGCATACCGTGAGCCGCCTAATGCTAAAATCTGTATTGTGGACTGCAAGGAACGGACAATGACAGACACCAATATAACAGTAGGATTTTGGACATAATCGAACAATTTAGTATTTCTTATAACAATCATAGTGTTATTTAAAATATTCATTTGATACAGGTGGAAATGAGAAAAATGTTTCAAGAGTTAAATCATCACCTAGGATTGACCAACAAACACATTAAATCATTATTGAGAATTGACCAACAAACACATTAAATCATCATTGAGAATTGACCAACAAACACATTAAATCATTGACAATTCACCAACAAACACATTAAATCATTATTGAGAATTGACCAACAAACACATTAAATCATCATTGAGAATTGACCAACATACACATTAAATCACTGAGGATTGACCAACAAACACATTAAATCATTATTGAGGATTGACCAACAAACAAGTTAAATCATCATCTAGGTGAATACATTAAATAATGCTTGACATTATAAATTGTTTCCTTTCTTACAGTTTGACACTCGTGTGATGTCCATGGTGTGTGTCAATGATGAGATGGTCCTCATCGGGACATTGTCCTGGTTTGTGTTTGCCTACAACCAGGACACAAAGTAAGGAATGTGTCTGACTTTTCTCAACTTTAATTCCTTGTATCACTTTGTCTTATGTATGTATGTTAACACCTAATCTAAGGACCGGGACAGGGGGAGGGGAGATATTTGGACCCATGTTCAATTAATTTTGACAAAACTACATTGTAATATTAACTCTTTAAACATTCCCAATGATTCATTTCAAAAGAATATTTTCCATATGGGCCTATTCATTGGTATTATAAACATTTGCCGTATATTCACTGATATTATAAACATTTGGCATATATTCACTGGTATTGTAAACATTTGCCATATATTCACTGGTATTATAAACATTTGCCATATATTCACTGGTATTATAAAAATTTGCCATATATTCACTGGTATTATAAACATTTGCCATATATTCACTGGTATTATAAACATTTGCCGTATTTTCACTGGTATTATAAACATTTGCCGTATATTCACTGATATTATAAACATTTGCTTTATATTCACTGGTATTATAAACATTTGCCATATACTTACTGGTATCATGAACATTTGCCATATATTCACTTATGTATTTAACTGTTATTCCCAGGGAAATGCTATGGCAGCAGAGATTGCATGACGCTGTCCTGTCCATGGAGGTCTATCAAGATGATGACGGTGACAAGTCACAAAGGCTGTTTGCTGGCCTGGCTGATGGCACAGTGGCTATTTTTGAGGTAGTCATTTAACTTCTTGCTTGTACACTTACATATGTTTGCTGGCATTAAACTCTCTATTGTCTTCATGATATGAAAAAAAAACCCACAGAAAAAGAACGTTAAAATTTAACAAGAAGTTTTTAAATCCTTTATATTAACTTCGCTTTTGTTTGTCGCTGGCTGGCAAAATCTTCAGACAGCTCATTGGCCCAGAACCCGTCAAGCTACCGAGCTGAAACGGCCCATAGACTCATTGCTGATGATAACATATTCTATCAAATTTTCAGCCCAAGCACAACACCCAAAAATAAATTTTTACTGTTGTTCAAGGAGGAGATAAAAAAAAAATCCTGATAAATGAGATTCTTTTTTTAAAAAAAAATATGTCAAGTGCGTTTGGTGCTTTACATTTTCTTTTGTTTTTCTAAAATTGTTGGTGAAATAAATCTTCAGTTTTAGAGCGGGTGGGTCATTGGAATATTAATAAAGTTAAGTTGCATGAAAAAAAATGTGCCTTGATGTGGGGAGCACCAATTGGGATTCTTACTTGTATGCATGTTTTGTCAAATTTTTAGTCCCACCCCCATTGCTCAATATTACATTTTATAAAGGATTTATATGAAATATTTGTTTTTGATTTTTAAATTATGTTATAGCAGTTTTATGTAAGAGCTTTCTTTATTAATTATGACTTATATTAAAGTCTGACTTTATGTTTCACAAACTGCTGGATAGACGCATACAGTTTAAACTGAATTCGTGCTTCAATCTGGTTTTTTAAATTTTGCCTTTCCTTTTGATTCAAACATTTCCACAATTAGTAAAGTGGCAGGCCACCTAATTTTTATAGATTAAATTCCCTCTTTAGATACTGATTGATTAGCAAATTTTAGCTCTGTAGCACTCCATGAACCATAACAGCTAGAATTCTTTGGAACTCCTGAAACCAAAAAATATAAATATAATTAATATGTACAAAAACTTGCAAATATTAAATATAGAGCTGGTAGCAAGGTTAAAATTTACATTTTGATAGACAGGAATCTAGTGTCTTTTTATCTACATCCCTGTTCAATCTTGAGGAATATTTTTTCATTGTACTGCACCTCCACACATTGTTATTTAAATTGTATTTGTGTTATCTATCAGGCCCTGAGTCCTTCTTGTACAAGCTATGATCTCTTCTACCTCCCCATTGGCCAGTCACCTGTCACATGTCTTCGGTTGCTGGGAAACAAACTTTGGTGTGCTTGTGGGAACAATGTCTCCATCATTCATGCAAGGTATTGAAGGAGAACTAAGTTTTTAAAAAGCTACTGAAGCTTTTATAACAAGAACTTTAACTGCTGTTACCATCTTTCAGTTGATTGCTTTTCAAAGTTGTTGGTACTGGCCACCAATTGGGCATTTGTATTACCTTGGCCGGGGGGACAAACTTTTTGTGCGGAGGGCCACATTGACAAATGTAAAGCTATTGGGCCGCATGTATATTATGTCCAATTTTTACATGTCAATAATCATTTCTCTATATTAAAATTGGTAAATTCACATTTTAGCATTACATGACAAAAGCCAAGGACTGTTTAAAAAAATACAAATTTTAGAATATTCCAGTTAGCATAATTTTCAACTATTTTTATAGAAAACAAGACCTGGCTGACCTTTGACCCAGAATAGAGATTTTATTGTTTTTTTTATTGGCTAATTTTCCTATTCTTTCCTCCAGTACCCTTGACCCCAAAGATAGATTCACAGTATCGGCAAACCCGTATGACACCATCTTGTCCCTGGTGCCTGGCCTACCCGGCGTGTGGATCTCGGTGCGAGGATCATCTGTCTTAGAACTGTGGGACAAGGAGACACTCTCATGTCGGATGTTGTATGACACTCGGACTGGGAGATTTCCGAACCTGAGAAAGGTTGTTCAAGATGAAAATAGAAATATGAATATGTAGCACTCACTATGACAACATGGGTCTTAAATAGGCTCATTCCTATGGGGAAGGTTTCTCAATGTCAGTGTAAAGATATGAATATGTAGCACTCACTATGAGAACATTGGTCTTAAGTAGGCTCATTCCTATGGGGAAGGTTTCTCAATGTCAGTGTAAAGATATGAATATGTAGCACTCACTATGAGAACATTGGTCTTAAGTAGGCTCATTCCTATGAGGAAGGTTTCTCATTGTCAGTGTAAACATATGAATATGTAGCACTCACTATGAGAACATTGGTCTTAAATAGGCTCATTCCTATGGGGAAGGTTTCTCAATGTCAGTGTAAAGATATGAATATGTAGCACTCACTATGAGAACATTGGTCTTAAGTAGGCTCATTCCTATGGGGAAGGTTTCTCATTGTCAGTGTAAACATATGAATATGTAGCACTCACTATGAGAACATTGGTCTTAAATAGGCTCATTCCTATGGGGAAGGTTTCTCAATGTCAGTGTAAAGATATGAATATGTAGCACTCACTATGAGAACATTGGTCTTAAGTAGGCTCATTCCTATGGGGAAGGTTTCTCATTGTCAGTGTAAAGATATGAATATGTAGCACTCACTATGAGAACATTGGTCTTAAGTAGGCTCATTCCTATGGGGAAGGTTTCTCAATGTCAGTGTAAAGATATGAATATGTAGCACTCACTATGAGAACATTGGTCTTAAATAGGCTCATTCCTATGGGGAAGGTTTCTCAATGTCAGTGTAAAGATATGAATATGTAGCACTCACTATGAGAACATTGGTCTTAAGTAGGCTCATTCCTATGGGGAAGGTTTCTCATTGTCAGTGTAAAGATTTCAGAATGAGAACATTTTTTTTTCCTCTAAAAAGGCTGACAAAGCTGAGACAATAAATTAGGTGGATTAGAAAACAAATTGTCTAGAGACATGGTTCTTTTATTTTTCCTTGGTCTCTATTTGTTGATAGCCTTAAAACAAATGCAAATGTTTATAAAACATATTGTTATCGCACTAAATACAGTTTTACTGTGGTTGTTTTTTTCTCCATTTGACTCAAACCTCTTCCACTTACTAATACTATTTCAATTTGTTGACATGTAATTATTTTTTCCAGTCTCCAATTTTTTTATTCCATAAAAATTCATTTACAATTCTATAAGTACCGGTACTTAAAATTTTATTGTTCCCTAATTTTTTATTTCATTTTATTTTTCAAAGATATTTTAATGTAAAAAAATCATTTCTTTTGGCTTTTTTTCTTTATAGGAAGATGATACCTACTTCAACGCAGCCAGAATCACATCAATTCTCTCCCTTGACTACAGCGTGTGGGTTGGCACGGGGGAAGGAATCCTCATCACTTTTGACGTCTTCACCCCGGCCCAAAAAACACCATCGGAGTCATCTCCCTTCATGTCCGAGGCCATCCTATGCACAGACATGGACATTCAGTCTTGGCGTTCATCCTCCCAGAGGAGTGACTGTGAGAGTCTTGCCAGACTGATAGAGGTGGAGAAGAGAGTCAAGGAGATATACAAGGAAAGACAGGGCAATGGCACGGATAACACGGATGGCAACACCGGAGACAGTGATGCTTCATATATAGAAATGGCTATCAAGGGGGATAACTTGGATAGCAGCATTCAGAATGTCAAGGGTAGGTTTCAGCCCGAGAAGATTGTGAAAAGAAACTCAACAGACCTCCAGAAAGATCCAATGATTGTGAAAAGTTTCATCTCCCAAATTGATTTCCAAGATAAGAAACTAGATCTGAGTTCATCCAAGACTGATCTGACGAAGACGTTTTCCGCAGACTCTGCCAAAACAGACCTCTCAATGAAGACAAATACTTCTGGTCTTAGTTCTACTTACAGCCACCAATCTGATACAAGCGATCATGCGGTGCTTGATAATGCTTCACTTCACGATTCGGGCTTTGTGCAGTTGAGTGGACCAGGCTCTGAGTCCACTGAACATTCCTTGAACACTTCCCTGCAGGAGGATGGTCATAAGAATACTGTGTTACCCAGCCCATTGGAATCAGGTGCAGACAACAATAACCTGCCTCCCAGTTCACAGCCCATGGTGGATTATGGGACTCGGCAGGGAAGTCGGGATGATCCATCAACTCAAGTGAGTCGCCAAGGTCCGTGGTCCCATGAAACAGGCAATGAAAACTATGAGATGAGACAAACAAGAAGGTCCGAGGACAGTGGTGTGTCATCGCTCAATGAGAGAATCGGGGATGATCTTAAAGTGAAGAGTGAATCTTTTATTCACAAGGTCATTGTAAAGGGGAATGCAGAATTTGTGAACAACCTTAAAAACATTGAAGGTGGTGGGGTTTCAACGAAGAGTTTAGAATCTCACATCAGTGGATCACTGGAGCATTATTCAAATAGTGACCTTAAAATTGCTGGGGATCAAATTTCTGCAACCGAAAGGATAAAGAATGGTCAGTCAGTGTTTTCCAACGGCAGGAGTGTTTCCGAGGAGTCCAACAAAACAAATGAATCCGATGATGTATTCCAGGACTGTGAAGGCAAGCAGGATGTGGTAGGTCCTCAGCAGCAAGTAATGCCCCACCAAGTGGAGGATGGGAAGCAGGCTGTGGACACATGGGTCAAAGGTCAGAAAGTTGTGTTCAACAATGACGTGGTTTCAGACCAACCGCAGCAGGTTGTGTGCGACAACACTGTCACTCAGGAAAGTCAAGACAGCCTATCCAATGGGTTTCATGTCGGTCTGGATCAGGCTGAACATTCCTCCCATACCAAGGACATCTTCCAGCGGCAAGACTCAGAGTCTCTGGAGGAAATGGAATCCCCTAATGTTCAAACCCTTGCCACAAAGTTTGAACCCAAACCTGTTGACAACAGCTTTCTAAGGCGTACGCAGAGTTTGAAAAAAAACTTTAAAGTGGATTCAAAATTCAGTGTAGTCAAATCAACGCCTCTCATAAATGGAGAGAACTTTTCTGATTCTAGCCACGAAGAGCAGCCTTCTCTTGATGAAGGTAATTTAAATATCCCTGGCGAATCGGGTAGTGAACAAACTCTCTCTGGGAATTCCCAATCGCCGTCAGATGACACAATTCATATGACGTCTTCTGAGAGTTCTGTAGACAAGCAACTGTCAAATGAAGCCCCCAGGCCCGCAGCCGATATCAACTTAAATGACGAAGAGTTGTACAGTGCTTCACGCAGTCACCAGAAACTCTACAGGCTCAGTCTCAGCATTGGCAGCACACAAGAAACGACGGACCAGCTCTCTGCCGCAGCTCTTCAGCTTGACAAGGAGCTCAGCCATTCCAGACCTATCATGAGCTCAGAGAGTCTGAGCTACACACACGTGAGTAGGATGGAGCAGCCGACGAACATTGCCGGGAGCGTTTCGGCGGACAGCGGCTCACCTGAGCTTGAGCCGACCAAGACTTCAGATGACGTTTTGCAGACCGGCAATGTAGACAATCTGTCAAAGGTCAACTGTAAACAAGCACCGATCAACATCCCACGGGGTAAAATTGACACCAAGTTTTATGGAGATTCCGATGAAGACACGAGTGTCCATGAAGCTCGTGTCCAGTCCTTCAAAGACAGCTACAAGCGACTGTCGGCCGCCAACTCAAAATTCAAACTTTTGAATGACGTCATTCAAGAAAATGCTAATGGCCCTGTCTCAAAACCTGGCTCTAAGATTCAAATTCCACCATCTAAGGAGATAAGTGGATCTTCCGCCACTAATGAACTTAGGACATCTGCTGATCTAGTACACCCTGCAAGTATTTCTCTCAGTTCATCAAAGCCGTCTCTCGAAAATATTGGTAGGAAGAGCTCAGAGGCCAGTATTATTTGGGACAATGTCCAGTCCCGTGATCCTGACGCCCAGTGGAGGCTGGACTACACCAATATCCACGTGGACACCGACATTGAGAGCCTGGCCATGTCATCAGCGTCCTGCGATGGACAGGGGGGAGGAGAAGGAGGGGACTCCCAGCCGCCAAGTCGGAGGCTGAGCTGTTTCAGCAATGGCTCTGACATGAAGGACCAAAGACTGAATCAGTTTTTGAGGGATACAGCCAGCAGCTTTAGCTCCCAGTTTGGACAATCTTCTGAAGAAGACAAAGTAAGTCAAAGGATATTTTCTTTTCAAATAATTTGTCCATCCTTTTTATTTTTACTTTTTAATTGTAATTCATTTATATATATATATATATATATATATATATATATATATATATATTTTAACATATATATATATATATATATATATAAATATATATATTATATATATTTTTTTTTTTTTTTTTTTAATTTTATTTTATTTATATATATATATATATATATATATATATATATATATATATATATTGTAACATATATATATAAATATATATAAATAAATACATATATTATATACAAAATTGGTAAGGATGGGGTGGGGGTGTGTTACTTGTGGGTCTGAATATTGAATATTAAAAAAAAACTATGATAAAATTTCCATTTGTAAATTAAATGTGGTCTTAATGTTTTAATTATTGTTGTTATATAAGAAAAGATTCATAATGCATTTGTCAGTATGAGAAATCCATTTTGTGTAATTTTCAATGTTTCTTTTTTCAAAGTTAATTTTTATCTGCTGGATGAGATTTTAAGTTTGTATTTATACATCAACAAGCCAATCTTTATCAACAAAGTCTTCAGTCAATCTTTATTAACAAAGTCTTAAGTCAATCTTTATCAACAATGTCTTAACTCAATCTTTATCAACTAAGTCTTAAGTCAATCTTTATTAACAAAGTCTTAAGTCAATCTTTATCAACAAAGCCTTCAGTCAATCTTTATTAACAAAATCTTAAGTCAATCTTTATCAACAATGTCTTAAGTCAATCTTTATCAACTAAGTCTTAAGTCAATCTTTATCAACAATGTCTTAAATCAATCTTTATCAACTAAGTCTTAAGTCAATCTTTATTAACAAAGTCTTAAGTCAATCTTTATCAACAATGTCTTAAATCAATCTTTATCAACTAAGTCTTAAGTCAATCTTTATTAACAAAGTCTTAAGTCAATCTTTATTAACAAAGTCTTAAGTCAATCTTTATCAACAAAGTCTTAAGTCAATCTTTATCAACTAAGTCTTAAGTCAATCTTTATTAACAAAGTCTTAAGTCAATCTTTATCAACAAAGCCTTCAGTCAATCCTTATTAACAAAATCTTAAGTCAATCTTTATCAACAATGTCTTAAGTCAATCTTTATCAACTAAGTCTTAAGTCAATCTTTATCAACTAAGTCTTAAGTCAGTCTTATCAAATTAAAATTTTTCTTACTTTATAGAGCAGTTTAAATATTTTTAATATATTCATTCCAACTGTTTTCTAAATGTAAGGGCTTTAAGATTTTGCACTGAATGAATGTCTGATGCCTTAAGTCATGATTACTTATTGAATGCAAGGTCCAAAGAATGAGTGGGGGCACGAGTAATGGTTTGTCCTTGTCTCCAGCAAATGGGCTTCCTGTCCACATCAATGCTGAGTGGCTGTAACTCCGTGTCGTGGTCATCCTATGATGAGATCAGCACACCGCCACAAGGTGACGGTGACAGTGTCAAATATAGACTGCCGCGCACGAGGGCGTACAAGTACGTATTTTAAGGTGTACATTTGTGGGAGTATCTACATTATATGGCATGGTTCATTCTTGGGTGAAAGAAAATTACTATTATGTGTTACCTCTGAAACCTGTTTTATATTTCAAATTACCATCTAATGTCTTCTCACATATATCGAGCTTAAATAATGTTATGGTTACTCCTTGTTCACTAAACAAGCTGGTATGATTCCCATTCAGTTATTAAGTTGACAGTAATTATTTTCCTGTTGTATTATTAGTTTGATGCCATTTTGTTTATGTAGAATTGACATGCAATTAAACATGTTAAACAAGCACTAGCAACATTTTGCTGACATTTTAAAAATATTAAATTGACAAAAATTCCATCAGCAAATATGCAAGAAGTATTTCTCACTGAAACCAGATCTCTGTGGCAGCCTTATAGTCCTGACAGTGTTAAATTATCAGACCTGACAGTCTTTAAGTCATTGTGAACAAATTTGTATTTTTTTTAAAATTCACATTAGTTTATCTCATTTTATAAACTCTGTAAGTGCATTTATGCTCTCTTGACTTAGTTGAACACCTTTTTAAAAATAGAAATGACTCATGACTTCTTGACTTTTAACATAATTCAATATGGATTATTTAACCTTCTGGAAAATATAAATAGTGATACCTATATTTTGGAAAAGACATGAGTTAGCTTTCTTGAAAGACAATCTCCCATTATGAAATGACGGATTTAGGCAGGCGTATAGAGAAACAAGTTAATTTTTAAAAGATGAAGTCAATGTCAGTCATGATCCTTTGTACCATGGTGCCAAACCATTGACCTTAGGTTTCTGGATCTGCCGTCAGTCCAACTCGCACGACCCCACAGTCTAGAATAGTATGTTTTAAACTCCAGATACCACTATACAAGCACGTCTTTCTGTCTGTCCACAGCATGGAGAGCCGGACCACAAGTATAGCCAGTACTATAGACATGTACGGCAGCACTGACCTGTCACTGCTGAGCAAAAATAAGATCTCTGATAAACCCGTCAAGTGGCTCGTGGCAACTGAGTAAGTCATCTCCCCTGACTTTTTAAGACATGACAAAACTTAACCATTGCCTTCATGACTACCACCTCTTGTCTGTAGCCTAATAGGCAAGGTTCATGTGGGGCCTTTTGTAAGAGGAAAAATCCAGAAAAATTTGCATCTAGATATTCGTTAACTATTCTGTCCTTTATTTTTCCATTGAATTCAAGTAAGGAAGCAAATCAAATAATTATGTTTTCAAATAATTTTCCAATTTTTATTCTCTCAAAGCCATCAACCTTCTTTTTTAAATTTAAAAACTTATTTTAATGTACCTAGCTGATTAGTTTCTGTGTGTAAACAAGATTTCATTTTAACTCTCATCGCTATTCACATCTCTTAAAAAAGAGCTTTCATATATTATGTCACCTCATTGCCATTTTATTAAAGAATATTTTTATATATAATTCATTTGTATTATTATTATACATACTTATAAATAATGATGATACATTCTGTATTGAAAAAGACTAGTAATGTATAATAATTGCAAAAATTGTTACTGTATTTTAAAATAATTTACTTTTTTTTATCTGAAGAAGCCAAGGAAAGCCAGTGGTTCTCAGCTTTTCAGGGTCTCACTCTGATGATGAAGCTGTTTTGATATGGTCTAGGGAGGCTAATGAGGTGAGAAACATGTGATTATTTTTCTTTTAATTCTCTCTGTTGTTATCGTTTGCTATCGTAATTTGTTTTATAGTTTAATTATTTATTTGATCTGATTTGTTAGATAGTTGAATTATTTCTTTGATCTGATTGGTTGTCTAATGTCACTGATCTGATTGGCTACTTTGCCTGTCAGTTTTGCTGTTGATTTGTTATTTGCTAGATTTGATGGTTTGTTAGCTTTATGATTATTTTTTTTTATTTAAAAAAAAAAAAAAATTTCTTTAAAGTATTGCAGCATTAAGCCATATTTATGGGGATTTTTTATTGGACTTTTCGTTGGCAATAAAATAACTGAAATATTTACTTTAGTTGTGGTTTCCATCACTGGAAAAATCAATAAAACTGTCTCAATGAACCTGCCTTTTGCTTTATCATTCTTGACACTAACAGACTCTGTGGACCAACGCCCCGGTATTAGAGTACAATCCAACCACTCGAATGGCCACTCTGCCAAGCTATATGAGGCCCCAGCTATCCAATTCTGCCTCAGCTCGTACAAGCCCTCATATCCGGCTCACCAGCCAGAACAGCAACTGATGCAGGGACTCGGATTCTGGATTGTGTTAGCCATGTACCAAATTATGCCTGGTGATGGCATACTCCTGGCCCGGGGACAGATGACTTCGGTGACATTCTCCTGACCTAAGGTTAGATGACCCAGTGACTTTTTTTCTGATCCAGGCATGTATGACCTCAATAAAGTTACTTAAAAGCTGAGTTACCAGTTGTTACAATGCCAATTATATTTTTACTTTGTATGTGAAGCTCAGCTTGTTCAAAGTAGACCCATTTAAGAAAGATATTTTATGGGATATACACTCCAATATGCGTAATTCAATCATGAACCATTTAATGTATGTGTATATTGTTTCCTCTGAACAATAAGTTAGTTGCAATGCCAAATATCTTTTATTTCTTCATTGATGTAAAATATTACAAATGTGGGGATCTTAAATACAGCATTCATTGTACATTTATATTTATGTATACATAATAAAAAGTTATGTTGTAAAATATGTTTTCTAAGGTTTGAAATTCTGAAGGATCTGATAGATCCTTTTATCCTGTACAGCATTTTATAATGAAAATTTCTAGAAAATGAAAATTTAAAAAAAAAAAAAAAGAAAAGAATTAGGATGAATTATTTTAAAATAGTTGTAAAGAGCCAATTCTCATCTAAATCCTTTCAATAAAGCTCTATTTTCACTTTGGAAAATTTACTCCAATTCCATTAAGTGCCTCACTCCTTTCAATAAAGCTCCAGACTCACTGATAAGAGAGGCCCTCCATACCTTAACCACAAATACAGTTGTACTGTACATTATAACTGCCACATTTCTGTTGGTGATAGTTATGTTACGGCCAGATGGAGTTTGTAATTCTTTATTTCTGACCAATGGTCTCTTTCAAATCTCAAATTAAAATTGGAACATTTAAAATTGAATTAAGTTTTCAAATTTTTAAAATTATTTTCTTAATTGTTGATGCATGATTTATTTATAATTAAGTATGTGTGATATTTCTTTCCTACTATTTAGTACTATTACTTACTAGTTTGATAATATTTTTAAATGACTACTGTAAGCATTTAAGGGGGAAGATATCTTATATTGTAGCTTTTAATTGTGAGTTTTAAAATATTTTCTTTGTGCTTAATTGTAAAATGTTAGTGACGTGTATATATAGAATTTACTGATCATTTGTATAATGAATTGACTGTTTATTTGATTGTAGAATTTACTGCTCATTTGAGTACAGTTATAAAGTAATGAACAAACTTTGTTTATGTATCATTTTTAGTGATAAAATTTCAGTATCAACAGCAGGTGAAAATGCAACAATTTTTTCCTATAGATGGAAAATAAGTTTACGGCTTTGGGCAATTTATGAGCTTTGGAAAATAAGAAATGAACTGTGAGTGTCCCTGTCCAGTCCAGGGATAAGGTCACCACTGTAAAATAAGAGATTACAAGAAAACGGACTGTCTCTGTGTAAGACTAAGGTGACCATTTTCAGATATTTCCATGTCATAGTGCAGGTCTGCACAACTCAAAATGTAAGGCGGGCCGTAATACTTTATGAAAAACTTGTGCGGGCCATAATATTTTATGAAAAGCTTGTGCGGGCCAAAAGATAATAGGACGGAAGGAAAACTATTAAGAAAATAATAACAATAAAGAATATTTCGTTACTTCGCGGGCTGCCAAGCCCGCATGCGGCCTTCGGGCCGTATGTTGTGCAGGCCTGTCATAGTGTATCATTTTTTTTCTTGTTCTGTCCATATTTCGTGGATAACTTTAAATGAATTAAGTCAAACAACTTAAGCAGTAATAAACTTTTTTTTTTTAAATTTCCAGCTTATCCTACAAGTTTTAGGCAGTTTAAAACTTTCTTAACATTTCCCCAGTTACTTTATCAACTCTTAAATTGTTCTGCTTTGTTTTATATTTTTATACTTGAATAATATTAAATTTTAAATGCTGTTCTTACCTTAGCTTTGGTACAGCAATACATCATAATTTCTAATGTAGTAGGCTACTCAAGTGTACAGCTGTAATTATGTGGAGGGTTAAAAGTTTCATACTATTAATCATAGACTACTCCATTAGTCCATGATTGGGATTCATACGTTCAAAGGGACATAATATCCTGAAGGGCAATAATTCATAAATTATAGATAACTCTTATTGCACTTACATTAATAATTAAGTTCACATTTAAATTATTATGTTAGATCTAGTTCCATCTTTATTTGATAAATGATAAATTATATATATTTTTTTTTTTCCGACATTATCATGACGTTTCAATAGAAGAGATACTGGTAAATGAAAAACTGCATGGGATAGAAATGGTAGGTTCACAAAATTTCTTAAAATAATAGCCAACTTTCGACATTTAGAATTAATCAGATGAATTATTATTGGGCAGAGTTTCCTTACTCTCCATGCCATGGATCCATTTCACACTTTGCTAACGCCTCTGTAAAAGGCATACTAAATTTCAGTTTTGCAGCTGAAGAAGTAAGGTGTATAAAATTATAAAATATAGGAGAAAATATACACATTTTTAAAATTAAGCACAGTCTTTTTGACATTAGTTTTCAATTAAGAAAAAAGTCGGGGGATTTTCTTTGAATCTTTGTAGATTGCTCAAAAAAAAATTATTCCAAAATTAGCACTTCACTATTTTCCAAATACTCCTTGTTGAAATTCTCATCTCTGAGGATATTATTTACCTTCCCAGCTGCTTTTTTTTTTTGTTGTTGTTGATTCCAAATGTGATTTTAATGTGTTAGGAGTATTTCTGATACTTATAAATGTCACATTATTGTGTGCACACACATGTTGACTTAAATCTCTATTGACCTAATATGTATCATAAATTTAATTGTGCTGTGATAGTGAAATGCCTTAATTGACACAGGTTGGCCATGTGATCAAACAGTTTCGGCCATCTTGGTTGCTTATTTAACTGAAATTGTGAGTTAAAATAATATCTTTTTTGGCCAGATTTTTATTATTTTAAAAGTTCTTCAAAATGGTTCCAAATTAGAGGAAACATTCCAATAAAGTTTTAAGTCATTCTCAATTTAATTTTGGAAAGCAAATTGTCATTATATTAGTGATGCATCAAAGAAAAAACTCCAAGAATTTATTTTTAACAGGGCTGAATATCTTACCTCAAATTTTTCACGGATAGCATCTAATTTTGAAATAGTTGAAAGTGTCACTAAGATGTTATTTCTTAGATTTTAACAGTGTTACTAACCTCACAACAGTTATAATTATAGAGATGAACACTCTTGTGATAAGTAAAAATGACCACCTTGTGTGACAAGTAAAATAAAATAATTCCTCATCTTGTTGCAATTAAATGTCAATTACTTAAGGTTTTTTTCATGGACTTTAATTTTATTTCAAAAAGTCCTAAAAAGATGCACTTTCATTAATAAATGTTTATTGTGTTTTAAAATGTATATATTCCGTCATTTTGTTACGTTTTTATGTTTAAGTTAAAGTGTTGATTTGGCTTTTGAGTGGGTATTTTCTTTTGTACCCACATATTGTCTTTCAAAATAATGGCCATTCACTTATGCTAGACAGATTGATATCAATAGAAGTGATAATATATATTATGAAAATAAGATAGTCAACTTTACAACAATATTCATCAAGAATATTATTTTCTTTAACAAAAAAAAATGTCTCCTTATTTTGCTCCCCTTCCCAAGTTGGAACTGTTGAAAACTGAGCCCAACACAATGTATGGATATTAAAAGGGTTTCAGCAATACTGTTTAATCTATGATCAAATGTGCCTTGAGATGGTGGAAAAACAAGGTGACTAATTTATCCCTCCTGGCATAGCCACTGCACATATATTCTCTCCTGACCTAGCCACTACACATTATATATTCTATCCTGACCTAGCCACTACGCATTTATTCTATCCTGACCTAGCCACTACACTTATAAGTAAAATCATGCATGACTATTGACCAACCTTTACATTTTAACACTGTCGTATCTGGTGCATTGTTGGTTGTAAATCAGTTAATGTGATATTAAATTCATGAAGTGATCAATTTAAATTGGCTTCCTATGTTGAAAAATAAAATTATATTTTAATGACCAGTAGTCACATTTTGTCTGAACAAAAGTGCTGTCATTATTTATTATTATTTGCCAAAAGATGCTATATATTTAAGGTAATATATTTGCAATACGAGACACTGTTCAAGTGTGTTCCCCAAACACAGCGTTATAATTATTTGATATCCAATCCCAGCTGTCGTTAATTTTTGTCTTCACCATGCCTAGGTTTTTTTTTTTTTTAATGTTCATTTATACAAATTTATAAAAAAATCTAACTTTAAAAATTAGAAATAAAGTTATTTTCTTCATGGGCATTAATTCGTGGAATTAGAATCGTTAATAAAAAAAACAACTATCTCTTAAATCCTTGCAGGTTTTCCAATACAAGAATTTACAATGTGCCTTATGAATGTTACAGTTATTACATTTGTAATATGTGGTAGAAAATATTTCAATTAATTTAATTTCATCACTGTATCTGGTGTTAACTTTTACCATGAACTTCTGCGCAAAATCTACTTTCAGTTAAGTTGAGGAAAGTCTGAAAAGAAAATGATTCTTTTCTTTTATTTTTTTATAAAATATTTATAAACTTAAGTTATTTGCTAAAAATGTTTTTAAATCATTTGAAATCAGTAGTTTTCAAATTATAGCATTTCAATTCAGATTTAACTCATTGTGTGGTGTGGAGACCCAGCTTGCTAGAGTAAATAGTTTATTAATTCTAAGTTTTTTAACAATTATATATTAAATTATAGCAAAAATGGCGTTTCTTTTTCATTATAAGTCTACTAACTAGGTCATTATAATCATGCGTACCTAGTTTTCATTTAATTTGTTAAAGCTACTCAAATTTTTTTTAAAAACTTGTTCTGTGATGCTGAAAAAAAATTTAATTCTACTGGTTGTATCATCCATTTTATGGAAAATAATAGTTTGAAAATTTGTTGGTTAAATTAATAATTTTAGTCCATTTATATTCTAGAGTCTAAATAACCCTTTGCTTTTACATGGTCCATCTCCATGTCAACAGCATTGTCTCAGGCTGTTTTGAAAAAAAAAGGCACATTTCTTAAGAATTTTCTGAAAAGTTTGTTAGTTTTTTTTATTTTAATTTCTTTCATATCGGATGTTAACATTCCTCTGTTTTATGATTTTTGTGTGTTTTTTTTTCAATATAAAACTCAGGGTAGGAGTAGAAGGAAACTTGAGAAGTTGAAACAAATCCTAAAATTCCATAAAAGACGTCACATATCTAAGGGTCATGAGCTTGTGGCTATGTGTGATAAATGTGTCTTATTTGTGTTACAAATATGTGACAAGGGATGTCAAAGTTCTGCCGAAGTGGGGTGACGTCATTTATGAATGGCCCTTATCTATCCCACGTTTAATATTTCCTATTTTTAAGCCTATACTGGTCCTCCCCTAATTATACCTCTTATTTTTATCAGCTTTGATGCATTTCAAAATAGGAATTTTAGTTACCCACAATAA